TTGTTCTAAATATCTTGTTTGCCTTACAGGAAACTGCTTGATGTTTTAGGAGAAATTCAGAGTTTTGGAAAAGTAGACATGAATATTTTAGAAATGTCTGAGGAACTGGAAACCTTTGTGACCAGCACCATTGACTGTAAGTATGAAATTGGAACTTTGAATATCCTTTAAGTACCTATTGGTAACATCTGATGAAAGCTATAGTTTTTGTATGTATTATGTTATATTTCACTTGTGATTTGTCTTTTAATATTTCAAGAATATGTTTTCCCCTAATACAACCATGCCTTATTTCAGATAAGTTTGCTCTTAGCAGATATATAGCAAATTGCCACACACTGATGATCAAGTGCAGCTTGCAGATATTGGGTGAAACTGCACACCAGAGCAACCCAATCATAGATTTATTTTCGGAGCACTTATTCTTCATGCTAAACAAGAAGTTAGTGTTTTGGGGCCTTTTATTGTTGTTAAAGATTTAAGTGTGTTGTGTAGATACAAGTACTTTTTTATAATCCTTAGTCAGATATGATTATGCATATTATTTGGTCCTGAATTTTCACTCATTTTCAAGTTTATTCCTTCTAACAACTCCAATAATTTAGAATGTAACTGACAAACAATAAAGGAAAAAACAAGAAATACAGGCCATGTCCGCTGTGATTTTAGTCCACAAGTACTGTTACCAAGGAGTTGATATTACTGCCTATCTTGCTTATCTTATTTTTTTCTTTTATTGCTATTAGTATTTTAATTACATGATGACAATCATAATATCAATACTAATATTAATAATAGTAAAATATTAATAGCATTAGAAAACTTTCCCTAAAAATTCAAGGAATGGGGGGAATCAGTTGAGATCACAAAGGACTTCATAATGAACTCTTGTTGGTAGCTGAGCATTTCTTATTTACCATGATGTTTCACTCAAGTCCATTCATATGCAGCATATAAAAGGAGGTTGAACATAGCTATTTTAAATTAGAGTAAAGGCTAATGAGCATAAATTTAAGAGAGTGAAAATTCAGGAAAACATAATTATGACCCTTTAATGAAAGAAACATATTTGGGGCCCATTTATCATTGAAAATGTTAAATGTATGTACGAGTATGAAACTAATCTTAAGTCGCTCCAGCCAGTCACCATAATGTTGGTGAATTATCTAAATTGTGGACCTGTCTAATATCTTCCATATTTTTCATTATAGAGAACCCGAGAAGAAAATCCTTATGTATAGTGGTGCCTGCTCACTTGACTGGGGTGCCCTGTGGAAACTGGTGAAAGATATGATGGACTTTGCATTTGAGAAAAATAACAAATACTTTGGGAGGACAAATGCTCTCTGTGTCCTCTCACTTCTGTTCAAGAATAAAGCTCTCTTCAGTCGAGGCACTACTGCAGAAGTAAAGCAGCTAGGGGAATCTGTGTCCCAGAGTCTTCTTGGTGTAAGTGTTCAGCTTCCAGGATATGTGCATGTAGTTTGGAATTTTTTCTTATTTTGTGTATATTTATCTAAATGCTAATTTATTATTTATTTTAACTTGGTGGCTGTGTATTGCAGCCTTTTATATTAGAAGTAGAGATGGTAATGATAATATGTTTCTTTGTAGATTCTCAAAAGGTTCAACCTTAGACAGCAAGCGCGTTTTGTGTCACGCCTGTTTGAATTTATGATTGTCCTGAGAGAGGTAAGTCTAATGTGACTTATTATGTGATTTTCTTTGATTAATTAATTGGAAGCTTAGTAATAGTTTTGTTCAGTATGATATATACACATACATGTACATATACTGCTTACATATTAAAAGTTTCTCCCATTCGTGCTTGCAAAATGATAGTTATTATTCTATGGAAATCTACTAGAGGCTGATTAAATATCTTTTTGAACAGAATCATAGGGATCCTGATACTTCAGGAATTAGATGGGAGGAGATCCTGGTTGCAGTAAGAGATCTTGATAAGGAAATTCCAACTGCAAGTCGATCGCCATTGAGGGTCTATTACAAAGAATTGGTCAGGGCGCTGCATAGGTGAGTTGATTTGACCCAGTGTGAAGAGCTCTTTTGCCCTTATTGGGGGGGGGGGTGTTAATTATTATCTCACAAAGCTAAAAGTTCATCATACTTGGTCAGCTTTCAGCAGAGAACTTGACTTTAGTTAAAAAATACTTTGCTATTGTTGCATACAGTTTTGACCTAGTGAGATATGGCTGAAATTAAGGATGAAAACTGTCTCTCGATTTGATTTTTTGTTATTTAACCCATTATTGCCTGGTCACATATATACCCATCATAACTGGGTATGGTGCATGGCAACGTGCTAGAACTTGTCAAGTGGGAAATTCCGCTACATGTAGCTTGATGGTTGCCAGAAATCATTGGTCTCTGATGCCAAGAGATTTCCAGTACCATCATTAAGGGAATAAAGATGAATTGATTATGAATACTGGAATTTCAGAGATCCTAACCAGCAGGCTGCAGACACAGAAGGTAAGAAGCGGAAGTTTGAAGAGGAGGAGGAACGCAGGACTCAGAACAAGAGAAGAAAAGAGCTGGCGAGGAAGAAGCAGCAGAAGAAGAAGGCAAAAGCACAAGCGTCTCAGAAGGGACCAAAGAAATTCCTTGGCAAGAAGGGTAAAGTGAAGAGAAAACGAGCAAGTCAGAAAAAGAGGGCAAGGAGATCAGAGGCGTAAATAATCTCTGACAATAGTACTGTTTTTCTTTCTAAGATATATGTTGCATCAGGTCAGAAGCTCTATGTATGATTATAATGAATAATTATCTTTAACAGTGATTTTGTTCCATTTTCATTTTCCCCAGGTTTTCCTTAATTGAAAAATCCAATTTTCTGAAAAAATAACCTATTTTCTCGAGTCACAGACCAGCTGTAAATGAATCAGTTGAAGGGATTTATGTAAATGTGTTTTTCCAGTACAAACCTGCTTTGGGGCTTACAACAAGCCAAAAAGAACTTAAATTTCCAGCTCCAGAGTATGAATATTTCAAGAATTTTCTCTTTTTTAAACTCATATTCCTATAGCCTTACCACTGTCCACAAAGGTAGATTTAAATATTACATCAAAAAAGGATTCTTATATGCATGGAAGCATTAACCAGTTACTTCCAGGTCATGTGCTTAGCCGTCATAACAAACCAATTGACCTACTGGGTATGGCTATATGCATGGCGACGTGCTAGAGATTGTCGAGCAGCTGGACAGTTGCCTCATATCACTAGATTCTTTGACACTGAGCGATTTATAATACCGTCACTGAGGGATTAAAAGTAAATTCTGGACTGCAAATATTTTTTATTATATGCAGCAAATATTACAGTATCACAACATGACTGAGGAGGTAATAGCTCTATTATGTCAATAATATTAATACAAATAATTAATAATATAATAAAACAGCCAATTAAATATCATACAAAGAACTCAATCGGTGTGTTTGGCTTTCCTTTTCCGAGCAAAATGTGAAAGTGTGAACATAATCAGTGCAATAGTAATGAGTGCTAAAAGCCTTTTGGGAGTAAAGATGTCATCCATTGACTTAATATCAGAGAGCATTTCACCAGCTTGAACACAAAGAAAGTTATAAGGCAGCAGACCTGAAAATAAATGCATAACTTTAGGAAGAAAGCTCATTACCAGACTAACATTTGTAGTATCTTCAAAATATAAATTCCAGTATATATAATTATTGTATTTCATTAGCAGTGGTTCCCAAATTTTCCTAAGACTCACAGCCCAAGATATTTTGACTAAATGTTTCATCCCCAAAACATCCCCAACAAAACTAATATTAGACTTGAATATGATATAGTCATATTACTCACTCTTATCATTACCATCCTTAATGACCTACATAAAATACTAGATTAGAGAGACATATCACTCATACAATTTTTTTACCTAAAGCAGTGCCAAAGGATTAAGAAAAAAAATTGTCATTTGTTGCACCTGTCACGCAAGGCTAGGAACCCCTGCTCTACAGTAGGAAATGAGTAGATACTAACCAAAGAACACAGAAAGGAAGAACATAAGAAGAGGCACATTTACGTAGGGTGCCATGATGTTCAACAGCCAATTTGGAGTCATTGGGAAAACTCGCAGACTTACTAAAAAGAGGAATAGCTGGTGTTCATTCTCAGAGATCTGTAAAAGAGAAACATCACTTTAAAAGACAATTTGAATTAAGATAGTTTCTTGTCCAAATAATGCATTCATTTTCTATAGTACTTAACCCCTTGGTGCCGGGTGACGCCGATCGGCGTGAAAACAAACCGCTTGAAAGCTGGCATGCAGCCGTATGCTGCGGCGGCGAGCCAGTGATTCGGGCTGATGTCCCCTACTCATGCCTTTGTTTGCAAGAGCATAGAGTTTGTTTTTTTTTGTTTTGTACACCCGGCGTCATTGGGTTAAAATAAAACTTTAAAGTCTTGAATTACCTACCTTCTCTCTAAACCAATGTATTTTTGTTGCAAACTTTCTCTGGATGATTTTCTTTCCCACAAGCCGGGAGAGGAGAAAGCAGTTTGATGCCCCAGTTGCTGTTAAGACACAGCATAATGGAAAACCAAGAGGCCAACAACCCAGCAAGGCTCCACCAAGAAGATTCTGAAAGAGAACATGAGTAGTATGCTACCTTTAACAGGCCATGCTGAATTTACATATATACTTACACTGCTCTAGTTTACTGATATAAGGAAACACTTACCAACAGTGCAGATCCTGGTATAGCAAATGTCTGTTTGTATATATATGCTGAAGAAAACAAGAAGACAACATAGTACCAGTGATCTTCCTTATATGCACTTGAAACTCGTACCAGTTCTCGCAGATCATCTAAAGACTTTGGGAAGTGCAGGTCCTATAATACAAGAAGTTATTTTAGTGATTATTCATAACTTCATGAATACAGTCACTGGTTAATAATTCAGAACAATGACTTAAAGGTGGTAATCATTAGTTAACAGCACCACCACTTGGAAAACTGACCCACCACCAGCCCATATAATTTGCATCTGCCAAAGCTGACTTACAGTAGTTGAAGCTTCTATATCACTTTTGATTACTAATATTTTACCCAAATATATACCTCCTAAAGTAACATGACTTTGCCGTCACTGGTTTGGAAAATCCACTATTCCAGCATCTGTCTGGTCCAAGGCTGGCCTACTAATTAGATTCAACCTGTACTAAAAATAATTACAATTCAGTCACACTAGGACATAATAAACAAAAATACAAGCATTAATGTGTACACATAGCTAACATGAAACACTGCCACAACAGGAACTCAATAAAAAATATACACATTATTTTATTGTTCTAGTTTGGCAGTATTTCACAGGAATGAACTCATGAATGTACTTGCTGTTCAAAATTTGTTTTTATTAAATGTTGCATTAAAAGAACTCTGCCTGTTCCATCAGACTACATTCAACAACTCTGTTTCCTAGCTTCCTAACAAGTAAAATTTTATTTATTTGATGGAAGTGTACATAAGGCAACTAAATGAACAGAAAGAAGAAGAAGAAAAGGAGGAAAAAAGAAAAAGACAAAGAAAAAATAAATAAATAAATAAAAAAGGTAGTTATTAATCCAGCCAAAGAAATTATCCATCAAGGAATGCTTTCAAATAGTTAGCAGGGACATAATCTGCTGTGTAGTGGTGGCTTGTTTATCTGTATAATATAATGTATATGCAGGCGTTATGTATGTATATGAGTGTGTATCAACACAAACATACTACAGGTGTTTATTCATGCCTGTGTCATAACATATGTGTATTATTCTTTTTACAATGTGTAACATATTCTAAAACATTCGGAATAAGACCATAAAATGTACTTACAGGAGTGATACCATTCCTCAGTGCAGGCCGATTCACAAAGACAAACCAAAGAAAAAAAGATGCTGCAGCAAAAGCAACAGGTGCAATTAACAGTCTTGCATAATCTCTCCTTCGTATGCCTTCCATTTTACTGTAAGAATAAAATCAAAATTAAAGAACCAAACACTGCTATTTGCAAATGTAAGTAACAAAAACAAACATAAGAGCACTGATAATGCTGTAATGTAAGCTAACAGATGTTATGAGGAATACCTGTGTAAAAGTTTTGATATTAGTCACAATGAAATAAAGTTTACTTTTGACTCTGCTATTAGTCACAATGAAGACCATCCTCAGAGGAATTAAACTTTCAGGTTACTCTCATTATAAGAAGGAAAAAAGAGAAAGTAAACAATAATAATAAAATAAAGAGGGTAAAGTTAACAAACACAGTTTTCAAAATATAAAAGTAAATATCTGAATCTGAAGTAAACTGACAAAGGTATATTGTAAAAACATGGCCATTTTCTCTTGTCTGAAAGGCTGTTTCTCAACAAAAGTTAAGTATCAAAATACCTTTTGACTTTGTAAAATTATCCAAGTCTGTTATGTTCATATTAAGAATATAAGACAAGGCAACTACTAAAATATGATAAATGAGGTTTCTGACAAGCCAACTAATTGCTTCATAAAAGAGGTTTCTTAAAGAAATGGGTGTAAATCTACATCACCCATAAAGTTCTGAAGCTATGCCAGAGAAAATGTATTACAAAAAATCAAACTTATATGCAAAAAGTATGCGTCAGTGTTTTTCCTATTACAGAAAATGCAGATTGGAAGAACTGCCCTGTATTGGGACATCTTAGGTTAAAACTAACTACAAAAGGCACTACAGTAAAACCTATATTTCCAATAATGATACAAATCAATTATATATATCAGGTGCACACTAGGAGGGGGGGGCATTTTCCCCACTTCCCATTAAAAAGGCTTTAATGCAATAGTTACTCAATTCTTAAAGACTGCTTCAGTATTGTCTAACATGCACACAAATAAAAGTACTGGTGTTGCTGTTTACTTGCAGCCAATTATAAAGTCCAAGCATTTGGAGAAGAAATCATTTTCTTTAATTCAGACCATTAAGACACATGATGATTAATGTAATGCCTTAAAAAACAAATCACTATTGGCTATAAAATTTAATCCGAGTTGCTCCCCATGAGAATGGATACCAAACAGAAAAACTGAGACACTCCAAACAGCAGGAATCTGCTTATAGAGCTCAGTGAACTCAGATGTGCTTGTCACTGATGCAGCTACTTGACAGAATACGTGATCAAACAATGCCCCGTGACAGACCTTCTGTTTAACTTCAAGTAAAATGAAGGAAAAGTATATTTGACCATCCAAAGGCTGTATAGCAAATGTCCTGGAAGGGTATAATCACCACATTTTTGCCTAACTTATACCAGCCATAACTCCTAATCTTATTATGTAGTAGTATCTTTCTGGAACAGTGCAAGATTAACTTGTTTTTGTTATGTGTCCTGGTTGAGAAGCAGCAGCCCACTAAGTGAAGGTGAAGATAAAAGGTACTGATGTTTTTGCCACTACTAATAACTGGTGGATTGGTCATCTCACTGAAATTATACTTACTACTTATCAAAATCATACAAACAAAAATGATTTGGTGTTAAAATAAACTGCGCAAAGTAAAGGTATGCCTACATTGTCCTCTGTGCTTCATGCTCAGGGAATGGTAAAATATTCTATCTCTTGACAATTTAGGGCTGATGATTTATGGTCAGTTATAAACCCAGTCAGAGCTCTATCTACCAAAATATATGTAACGGAATTTCATGAGCCCTTGTTAAAGCATGAAGCACTGAGGCCAAAATATCATATGCAGTCTTTTTGTCCAAGGAAATTTAATCTTCATAATGGAATAATCTTAAACTTTAATACTAAATTACACAGCCCACCAGCTATTTAACAGCAGAGAAATCAGCTTGACTGAGAATACTCACACTGTCATTCACAGCACACAAGTATTTTTTTTTTTTTTTTAATAATCCAGCATGAAATTTTGGTTAATGGGAGCTTATCAAACCCCTGCCAGGAAATATTCTTCAATTCAGTATGCACAGCAGGATGGAACTGAAAATAGGGAGCACTGAGTGGACTTAAGCTGTGGTCAATGCTTTCTGTGATTTTTTTCCTTTATTTGTGGCATTACTTTCAATTATTTCTTGTACCAACAACTACAACTTTTACTCCTCTACAAGAATATTGTTTGCAATTTGCCCTACCCTAGTGCATTCATACCATAATGATTAACCCAAGAAATAAACTGCAGAGATGAATATTAATGCCACAAATAAATGAAAAAGATTGCAGAAGGCGCCGTTCACAGCTTACATCCATGCATTGCTCCCAAGTTTCAGCTCTGTCTTGCACATATATTGTTGAATAAACTTTGTGATCTGGAATTGGGGTCTCACTCTAGAAATAATGCAAAGTTTTCATGGGTTAAGACTAATCTGAGCGAATTTGAGAACCCTGCCCTTGGTGTTCATTACAAAGCGATTTTCCCAAACTACTCTAACAAAACTAGTTATACGAAGCAAACCCCGGCATCCTAAGATATCGTTTTCTTCAACTACTATCATAGTAGCACTGCTTTTGTAGTCAAAACACGATCTTAGTCTCCCTTTTACTGACCTAAAAAGAAAGTTTGAGTACCTGACTATTCCAAGGCAACTTCTATAGTGACAGAAGAAGCATGTAAGATTAGATATGGATTATAGTATGGTTAGACATCGCCTGATAATCAACGAAGATATACATAGATATGCATTCGTTATCTATAATGTTTCTTCTTGTTCTGACAGATAGCTTAAGACATTATGCCATCGAGAGTTTTAGAAAAGAAGTCGTTGCTTTTCGTCCAGCTTCCGAGCAGTGCTATTTCGTCAGGCAGGTCCTCCGTCGCGTCAAATCAGCTGATTCGTGTAAACAAAGACACACATCTTTCTAAAGTGAATCACACCGCAAAAAAAAAGTATATATATATACATTCATTATTCAGCCGTTATTCATTATTCATTCATTATTCGACACGCTCTTTGGAGACACTCATGTAGAATCTTAAAAAGAAAAGAAAAAAAACAAATCAGAGATAAGATAATAATGAAGCTAATGAAATCGGAGCCAGGGTTGCAGGCCGACCAATGGCCGAGCGAGGCGAAGCGGAGGCGAGTTGCGAGTGGCCAGCTGGGCGCGAGGGACGTCGGAACCACCTGCCTGCGACATCACGGCCTCTGACATCACGGAGGACCTTCGCACGGGGGACAATGGACGATATTCTGACAGGAGGTAAGTAGGGAACTAGGGCGCCCCGGGATTATGGAAGGTGGGAAGGGGAAGGGAAACGAGGAGAAGGAGGGAGGGGAAGGAAGGAGAAGGTGGGAGGGAGACGAGGAGAAGGGGGGAGGGGAAGGAAGGAGAAGGAAGGAGAAGGAGGGAGGGGAAGGAAGGAGAAGGGGGGAGGGGAAGGAAGGAGAAGGGGGGAGGGGAAGGAAGGAGAAGGAGGGAGGGAGACGAGGAGAAGGAGGGAGGGCAAAGAAGGAGAAACTGGAGCAACTTTTGGTGTTCCGGATGGCCAGCATTTCAGGTTGGCACTAGGTCAAGGTTGTGCCAGAGTGCCAATCTTTATGGTGTTTAATACCATCTTACGCCTCAGAATATCAACAGGAAATTATAGCCATTATAATATCTGAAATCTTGGTGTGAATATTGCCCAGAAGTCCATGTGCTTTCACTCTCGTTTCACATTTGATCTTGTATTATTCAAATTTATGCTCTGAAATGTCCTGCAACTTTTAATTAAAGCTTACTAATTAACTGACAATGGTTTTCAAGATTGGACTTTATCCCCGTGGTTGCACTGACTATTTTCCAACTAAATATCAAATCCGCTTGAAATTAATTGTGATCTGTTATGAAATCTTGCAATCTCAACTTCAGCCTCATAGTAGGGCAGTGTCAAGGAATTGTTGCAGCCTCCATCATGTATTTTCTTGCAGTGTGTAACTTGTCCTGGTTCTTATTTTATGATAAGTAATTATAGATTTTTTTTTTTTTTAATTGACTTGCAAGCATATGCAGAGACCAGTGGCAGATGTGAGGGTGTATTGTAAAAAATTTCATTGTGTCATACTAGCATTTTCATAAATGGATCTCAATGATTTTTATTAACCAGTTTTGGTTAAAAATCAAAATACAGCCATTTTGCCAAATGTTTCAATATTAGTGCCAATGGCTATCTCTCCTTCCCATGTATTTGTACAGAATAGAAATTTACATGTCCCCACAAAATCATCCTATTAAAGGGAACTAACACCCCTAAGCCCTGTCCTTGGAAATCAAATAACCACCACATGCAACAAAGCAAGATGGGGCTTATGGTTAATCAGTAAAAGGGCAGCAAACCAATGAGCTCTCCATCCTGCCTTTTATTTATGGAGGATGTTTGTGTCCTAGGGTTGGGGTCGGAGGGCAGAATCCTTCCTTTTATGGGGGGGAGGGATGTGGAGGTGGAGTGAGAGGATCAGTTACACTAAGCCTGGCATATAGGGGTTAAGTTGAATAAACTATCTGGTGCGCAAAATGATCTTCTGAATCTGGACTCGGAAGTAGTCTGGATGTATTTTCATTTGTTTACTTTGGAAAATGATGGAGTAGCTAAGTGTTTTCAATCTTTTGGGGCAAAGTAAAGGCAGAAGAAGGTGGAGTTAACAACAGTAGAGGGAGAGAGACAGTTTTTGATTTTGTTTTTAGATAGCAATGTGTGCTTTTTACCCTTTTATTCTCGCTGTATGTGAAGCTCTCAATACTCAATGTTTTATGTTGTTGTTTTTTTAATCCTTTTCTGAAACATTTAGTGTTATAGTAAGTTAGAAAGAAAATTTTAAGAAAAGACAGACAATTCATTTTTTTCTTGACTTCCCACAGATGATAAATTTTACATGTCGAGATTGAACAGGGATCCCCCCACCCCCCAGAAAATGAATATCCAGAAATCAACAAAATAATCCCCTGGGTATTATAGTTTAGTTTAATGACTGAAGTATACTAACAATCAATAAAAACTGAGTTTTTAATGATGTGTAATGAATCTTACACATTTCATATTGAAATTTGATATGAAAAATCAGGCTTTTCATTCAGAATATTCTAAGACATTGAAATAGACCCCAAAACCCAGACAGATGGTCATATTTTATTATTAACTTTATGACTACTTGGTATTTTTCAGAATGTGAAGTCTAGTAACATTTCATACTGATTTTTGGAAAATAAATAAAACTATTTCTTTCTTTTAGGGGGTAACTGTGCTGGTTCAAAATTACACCTAAATATCAAGGAATAGGATAAGAGAGCTTAGAGAAGTGTTTTGGAGGATGGATTATATCAGAATTATATATATCCCTGCTGATATATTTTTCCTGAACCTTAGAAAAAAAAGGACCATGTCTTATCTTTCATTTCCTGTTGCATTGCAACTGTTGTTGTCTTTTGTTGTTGTCTTTTGTTTATTCAAGTCTGGGTGTATCATGATGTATTCAGTAATATTCTAGGAAGTTGTTGTAGAATATTATAAGGAGTTTCATAAGCAATATAATCATTGACTGTGTTTTTGCTTCAGTACAAATTTGTAGTGTCTGATTATTTTTCAAAATCCATTGAGATACTATTGTTGCTGGTTACAAACAAGTAAGTAAGTCATCTTAAAGATACCTTAGATCAGAAAAAATAGATTGTAATAAAATTTACTTCATACTTTAGTCTTTGTTTTTCTTTCACCTTCTAATGAGCTTACCACTTGCCAGATATCCGACCAGTGAGACGGGCTCCACCACCACCCAGATCTAAGCCAGCCGTCCAACAGCCCAGGTAAATATGTGGTTTAAATGTAAGAAGACAAAGACATGTTATTTTCAGCAAAGCATTACTTTATGCTGATTTTGTTTGTGAACTGTTTTTGTGTAGCTTCGTGTTTCATTTTGAAAATGTATAATCATTTGTATTACCGTTTCTATTTGTTTTGCATGTCTTTCAAAAAATTAGAATATATATGTGGTGAGTTTGATCCAGTGTGTTAGAACAGATGTGTCCTCAGTTTTTTGGTTTGATTTGGTTGTGCTACATAGTCACTGAGTAAGTTGCTTGGAGCTGACATGATTCAGTTAATAATGTGATATGGCTTTAATATAGCTTTTGATGCTTTGGTAGGTATATAGTTGAGAGTATTGCTGTGTAGAATTGTGGTACAAACTAAAGACAGCATACCCAACTGTGTAGATAAAACATTTACAAATTTCAAAGTTAAAAACAAAACTTTGTTTATCCTTATGGGTGCATAATACATTTAAAAATGTAGATGTTCTCTGATAGCGATTATCTTCTTTGGTTTCATTCCTGCCAAAGTTGATGAGGAGCTATTGCTGGCTTTATGTATGAATAATAGCTTCAGTAACTACCAGTAACTGCTCTCAAATCACAGATACAGGCCCATGTATTGTATAACTACCCAAGTAAAGTGCTGTAAATCTTTCTTTCTCTAGAGCGCATAGAAGAAAATTTTTCTGATTTTTTGTTTGTTCATGGGTTGAAATACTTTTAACAAATTCATAATATGCACTACTTGTCTACCAACAAATACAGAAAACTAGGTTGCCTTGGCCTTGTTTCCTAAAGGATACTGAAAAGAGCAGCTGATATATATCTATTTTTGTCTTATTATTGAGGAGTTGAACCTTAACCCAATGCTACCAGGGAAAATGAATTAAAAAATAGGGAAAATGCTGTGCTCATTTTTCATTTATTTATTTTTTAATGTCTCTGCACATAGATGGCTCTGCTAGTGCTTAGCCACAAAGGAGTCAATTAGTAGACCTTTTGACCTTACCTGATTTCATCTTTCCTTGAATTGGCTGGAAAATGTATTTTTTACTAGTGCTATGAATATAATAAAGTTATAAACATTAGTAACAGCAAAATAAGATAATGTAAAATATTTTTGTAAATCAAAGAAAAGGGTAAACAGGTGAGACAAGCAGTAATCATAATTGGCTCATTAGTGATTAATGAGCCACATAAGTGTAGCCATATATGTGTAAATACAATTGAACAATTAAACTCACAGTGGGCATGACATACATGTACACGTCATGCCCGTCAGCATTGGGTTAAATAGCTTTTGCTTTTCGTTTTTCGAAATATACCAGTTGCTGAAATTTACATTAGTGCTTTGAAGTAAAGGACAAATACAGCACCTTCAAAGCTTGAAATTCTATAAGGTTGGTTTACCTTTACACCAAATTTTTAAAATGTTGCAGGAATGATGACTTATTAGTCATACAGTCGCAGGGAGGTCCAAGTTGCAAGGTCCCGCCACCAAGACGAAATGCAAATGGAATCTCCAGATCAACTTCGATGCCGTTGTCTACCAGCTCCCAGAAGAAGAAAGTGCCTCCTCCTCGGCCGCCACCTCCAAAGGTGGGTTTGCTAGAAGTGTCTGAAATAAGTAATGGGAGATAAAGAGGAATCATATTCAAGGAAAAGTCTAGAAGAAATGATATAGTGTACCTGTGGTGGTGCATTTCATCCTTTGTCATGGTTTATATGAGCTATCATCTTTAATTGTTTAGAATTATGTGTATATATATATATATATATATATATATATATATATATATATATATATATATATATATATATATTGACACACACATACATACATATGTCTATGTGTGTATGTATATATGCATATACATATGTGTGTTTCTATATGTATATATGTATATATATGTATATATATATATGTATATATATATATATATATGTATATATATATATATATATATGTATATATATGTATATGTATATATATGTATATGTATATATATGTATATGTATATATATG